TTTGATTTTCGAAAAAAAAAAATTGTTTTTTAACCCCCTATTTAGACAGAAATAAGGTGTTGTGAAGTAAAATTAATTAAAACATTTTTTATGAAAAATTTTATGCATAATTTCAAAAATTAATTTTTTGCTAAAATGTGAAATAGTTACTTCGAATACCAAATCGAGTCTCGTTTCGAATAATTTGTTGAAGATCTGGATTTTCCCGCCAATAAATCAATTCGATTTCCAGAAACATAATCAAATAAATAATTGAAAAATTTTAGATTTAATAAAATTTCTTTGCTTCCAAATTAATACGGTATTAAAAAATATTTTAGATTTTTAGCAGTGATTATAGAAGTTGCGTATTATCACTGTGTTACCGTAGTTTTCAAATGAAGGATATCATACACCTACATTAAGGCGAAAACTACTCTCTAAATTAATTTAGCGGTAAATTTTACCCAATTTCGAAAAAATTCTTTTATTCTAATAATCTGAGAAATTTTTGAGAAAAACTGACAAAAAAAAATTTTTGTACAAAAATTATTTTCTAAATAAAATTCAGTGGCCAATACTGTCCAGTTTTAAGATTTTTATCATGTAAGATGATTTTATATAAGATATTAGCTTGGAATTCTTTTATATATACTTAAACTTACTTGAAATTTTTGACTGGGTATATGCAAGTTAAACTTGATTTGATTGACGTAACTAGGAAATTTCAATTAAGTTTGTCAATACTTTGTATACATACCAAACAAACTCAATTGTCTATGACAAAATAACAAAATAACAAAAATAAAAATTTCAAAAGAGAAAAATTTAAATAAAATAAAGGAATTTATTACAATCAAATTGTCCTGTCAATTAAACAAAATATAAAAAAATTTAATAGTTGATTATTTTAATGGTCGAATTGTGGCCATACTACACTATACTCTAGCGAGTGCGGTATTCCTACACAATTAATTTTCAATGAATATTTTTACAATAATTTATTCTAATTTAATTTAAAAATGAAAATTGCCATAAAAAAATTATTATTATTATTGGTAAAATTATAAAATTATATAAAAAAGAAATAAAATAAATTGTGAATAAACTGAATTTTGTCAATTTCAGACTGACATGATTCGTGACTAATTTGTGTGTTCTATATATGAAAAAAGGAATTCCTTTGTAATTATACATGAATACATACTTGTTATTTTTTTGGGTTATTCTTGAATATAAAAAGAAGATTTTAATTTCTAGCCAATTCTATAATTTGTGGTTTATATAATTTCTATGCACATACACACGTACATATGTATATGAAATTCTTATGTTATACGACTTTAAAATTGAATAAAATTATGCGAAAATTTACATGCATGGCTATATTATAAAAGAAGCCAAGTACTTAAGCATGCAAAAGTTAATTTTTGAGAGATGATAATAGAGAGAGAGTTAAGAAATATGTATATTTTATGTAGGTATGTAGGTAAGAAGAATGCAGAAAAATTTACAAGACAATAACAACAATAGTACAAGATTTGTTTAATCAAATATTCATACTAGAAAATTTAGTTGCATAAAACGGAAGGAAAACTAGTTATTTTAATGAGAATTACAAGAAAAAGAAGGAAAATATAAGTAGAAAAACTGAGAAGAATTTCTTCAAGTTCTTAATATGGGTATGAATGCTTACATTATTGTTTATAGCCTAGTTAAGTAATAATAATATTTAACTAGGGCAAGTAATTACTTAAATTGATATTAGCTATTTTTGGTAGTATAGAATGTTTTTTCGTTTTTCTTTTAATTTTTTATTAAAATATTTTCTAAACCGTATATAATTTTAAATTACCATAAAATTATTGAAAAAAATTAATTTTTCCAAAGTATTTATATATATATACGTGTGGTATAATTTCTTATACATACGTTATATATACTTGCTCTATAATCGCATGTATGTATGTATGTAGTTATTGTTGTTGTTTGATAATATTGATGTTAAAATGCATGACTTTGAATAATATAGTGAAAAAATCACGTTCAAAATCGTAGGTTCGGATTAGATTTGGTGAAATATCTTAGAATTCCTTAGGTCAATTGAGTTGCTCATAGTACATTAGTGGCCTATCTAAAATTTTTGCAAAAATGAGTTATTATGTTCAATAGAGTTGTAATGGCCTAAAAAATTGTTCTTAAAAAATTTTCAAAATACTTAGATTACTCCTCTGTTTTACTCTATTTTGACATAAGCTCGGTTTTGCCTTTTAAAAGTTTAAAAGATATTTCATGAATTAAAAATAAATATTTCAATCGAATTATCGAAAATGACATTTCGAGTAAATTAAATTTATTCGAAATGTCATTTTTGCAAGTAACTCAGCCATTAATATGCTGAGACTCTCAATTGTAGAAATAAAAAAATCACCAGAATTAGAGATTCTACCATAATTTTAAAACAGATTGAATGTTCGTCATTAGAGTACGGATTATGATATCAATGAGCCGTTAATTAAGATGTTGCGTGCCGTCAATTTCAACTCTGGTTGTTTTGATTATGGTGTTGGTAGGAGTGCTCTAAGGTCTGTAATTTTTAGGAATGTGAATTATATTTAAATATGGGTTACATAGCGGTGGTCTTGTGACTGAATTTTTTTTCCGTTCTTCGTAATTTTTATTTTTGTTTTTTTTTTTTGTAAAACTTAATACAAAAATTTTTTGTGTCTCCCATACTAATAAACTCTACCCTTACTAACTCTCCACTATCATTTCTTCCATCATCACATGGATGACAGCTTTGCTAAGCAGTTGCATTTTTGTGTGTCCAAATAATGATTGTTTTAGCTCTTTCATGCAATGTTGATTTGCATGGCAATTGATGTTTGGCCTTAGCAATTCCTTGGATATATAAGGAATAATTTAATTTTCGAATTTCCTCCTTTAAAAATTTAATTTATTGAACAAAATTTGTATTGTACAACACCAGATTTCGGTTTAGTCTTTCAAAAAATTTCACAAATTTTGAATTGCAGTGCACAGCAAACTATTGTGCTATAGACATAATCAGAAATAGAACACTTACAAAGATCATATTCGCAGAACGCGGTCTATTCTATAGGATGATTAATACAAGCATAATTCAAAGGCTTAACACAAATACGAATTTTCAGTAAAAAATTCAGAATTCAATAGTGAATAATAGAAAATAAGGGTACATAGATAAATTGATAAATCGAAAAATCAACATCTCGTTGAAAATAATTAATTTACGTTCTTCTAACATTAAGAAATATTACAAATGTTTCTGTTGTATGAAAAATTTGATTTAAATTTGATATGATCAGATTATACCTGCAATCTAAATATGTATATCTGGTTAAATTTTCATCTGCTATCAAAATATTTCATTCCCTCTGTATTTTTCTAGACATTTTTCTTTTAGTTTATAAATAAAAAATTTTTTTCTTTAAATACGGGATAAACATTTTTATTAAATATGTTTGTTTATAATTCGTTCACCTATTATCTATAAATTGCTATAATTATGTGAATCGATCGACCCCAATGAAATTTGCTTTATATTAAAAAATTTCGACTAAAAATAACCCAAAGTTTTTCTTTATTATTTCCTAGATTAAGCAATTCCTCTAACATTTCGAATAATCATAGTCTATAAAAATTTAAAAATTTTTTTTTTTTTAAATTTTTAATGGAATTTATTTTTTTTGTTTCTTACGTCTTCCTTCTTTTTATCGGAGGTCGTGGAAGTTAATGTATTGTTAGATTAAGAGAGGTTAATGCGAATCAATTTGATTCTAATGTTTTTAAATTTACTAAAATCTTGTTTGTGTTGAAATTTCATAAATCTAATTTGGTTTAAATTACTAGAAATTTTATTAAGGAAAATCATTGGAACACAACTTAGTGTACAATAAATTATTTAATTTATCAATTTTAGTGATATTAAAAGAAATTTTGATAAACTTGTAAAGAATATCGTAAATTGTTTTTTTTTTGTTTTTTTAAATACATATTTCAATTTTAGCAAAAACATTTAGCACAATAATTAAGTATTAGGAAAACAAAAGGTACGAGTAATCGTCATGAAAGCAAAATTTTTAAATAGTAAGAGCGAAATGACATCAGTCACGCGAATTAGCAATCTATATTTCGGTATCGTGTTCTTTGTAGTAGCTTTTCTATTTTTCAATAAAGATAATTAAAACTATTTTGATACCGAAATTTGATAGAAAATATTTAGAAGACGAACTTAATAGAACGGTGTGAAATCAAAGAAAATTCTTTAAAAATTCATTGCTGATTTAATATTGGCCGGGTTTTAGTTGTTAGGATAGGGGTCGGGTTCGAGTTTTTAAAATTAATTGAAACCAAAATAATTTCATTAAAATTTTCATGGTAATTAAATTATTTTTCATTTATTCAATTCATGGTAATTATTTTTTATTATTTTGAGAATTATTTGTAACCTTTCAGTAATTAATGAAAATAATTAAAATATTTTTATTAGTACAAATATAAAATTTTGCTCTTTTATGGGCTACAGATCCTAAAAATCTACCTTAAACATTGAAGTTCAAATAACGCAAATTATTTATTATATTTGATATTTGTCTTATATTTCACGATATAAGACAAATATCAAACATAAGTTTGAACCCTGCCGTTCCTAATGAATTGTATTCCTCCGCAAAATAGTGTTTTTCTTTGAAGACTTGTGTTTTTTTTCGATTTCTACATATTACTATACATCTTAGTATAGGTATAACATATTGTATAACATTTTTCTCCTTGTTTCTTACATTCATAATAGATTTTATATTGAATATTTAGATCATACTTATCAGTTAGCTAAAGACCAATTATAAAAATAATTGTAGAACAAAATTGGCTGTTCACTCAAATTTTACTGCCTAAGGTTTTTAATAATTTTTTGTAAAATTAAAGAATTGAGCCGTAAAGATATGAAAATTTGTAATTTATAACATAATAACTCTTACCTTGAAACTAGGCTCAAATAACCTGTATTGAAGAGTTGTGGAACCAATCTGAAAAAAAGAGAAAAATATATTATTTTAATATTTCAAAACGAACTAGTTTCGTATTTAATTTGACAAAATTTACAATTATATATTAACTTTACAATTGCCTTAATGGCACTTGGATTCAAAATATTATATGGGTTCTTATTTGGAACAAGTAAGTACGTCTTGATGAATGTTATAATATAGAAATTTTGTTTTCATATAAAATAAATTATTAAATTAATTAAAAAATAGTTTTAGGAAAACAAGTTTATTAGAGTAAAAGGAAAGAAGCAAAGTTACATAACAAAATGTAAAACTTTCCAAAATTCATTTATGCTCATGTTAAATTTCACAAAAGGAAATTATTTCAATTGTAAACGCACATTATTTAAAAATAATTTAGTATCCTATAGTTAGAATGCAAATTATTTTAATTGCTTTAATATTGAAATAATTTGAAAATTATGAACAGGAAAATCATAAAATTATAAAACTTTTTAATAATTAAATTAAACTGCCAAAATTAAATAGTATATACATACATACATATATATATAAGTACTATTATACAAATGCGCCTAATAATTAAAAAATTTTTTTACTAACGTTAATTATTAATTAAGTACATTTTAACCTGCACATGCATAATTATTTTAAGATATGAGCGTAAGGCTAATGTGAAAATGAGGATGTTACATGAATAATTAATTAACATGTACTTGGCGTGTAGATATGCAGAATGGTGTATTTAGAAATTTAAATATACTTATAATGTTAAATTAAATGAGTGAATTTGTGCCTTATATTGTAAAATGTCGTATAAACAAGGTTTTAATTATAATAAGTACGTTCGTAATATTTCAGGAAGTCATCATTTTTAATAATCTTAAATAAAGTCTGGAGGGGAAAAGAGGTAAAAGATGAAAAGAAAATATTTTAAATTATAAAAAAATAAGAACCATAAAATGTGTAGAGTTACAAGTTATCGTGATGAATCAAGTTCCGGATTAATGTTCCCCATATACGTTCTTATATGAATGGAAATATTTAAATACAGAGTAATTTTGTAAAGAAAATTGCCTTGTCCGCTTAAAATTTTCTTCTTATTTTTATTATTAAAATTAAGAAAGAAGAAAAACATGAAAATTTTATAGAAAATTTTTTACTTAAAAAAAAAAGAGTCTAAAGTATAGAAATCATTATCGTATTATATCGTAAGACTTTGTTAACATTTTTATGTTAAAAGTAAAAATATATTAAAAATGCCTGCAACTAAAATTGATTTAGTATTAGTGCGTATAAAAATTTAATAGTACAAGTAAATCAAATATCGAAAATTACAAACGTTTGTTGTAAAACACTTTTTCGTATGATGTTGTAAATTCACTTTACATCAAATTCCTGAACGTTAGAAAAATGTTATACTACTTGATCGATAACCAGTTTTGATTATTATATAAATACGTTTTAAAGTATATATGAATTGTTAAGTATGGTTTTTGTTGAACTTGAATTTTTTTTTTCGATAACATATATTTATTATGTGTATAAGCATATACTAGTGTGTTCCAGCCACAATATTATTAAATATTTTGAAATACAAGCAAATGAGTAGAATATTTTAACTGTGCAGCTAATATTTGCGTGACGCATGTATATTTTCATTTACATTACATATATATACAAAATAAATTCTTATATAATGTATTTAAATAAGTGTATTAATACTGTATTAGTTCTATAATTAAACCGAAGAATGTCTTATTAGAAAGCTTCTACAAATACAAGGTGTTTCGCATAAGGTGGCAAATAATTTCCGGGATGATTCTTTGCTCAATTTCCAGGAAAAAATTGGTTTTAGCATGGAAGGAGCAGGAGCAGATATACTCATTTTCGAGATACAGTCTGTTGAATAAAAAAAACTAAATTTGCAGTTTTCGCATGTTTTGAAACACGTTTTACTGGCAAAATATTATGAGAGATAGAGGAAAATATTATATGGGTTACATTTTAGATATCATTATAGCGCACCAAAAAATAATTGATAACAAAAATTTCTGACAAATTTTGAGTTTTTAAAAAAAAAAATAATAATTCTGACCTTGACGAGCTCTATCCGGAAAACTATGGCTCAGATCAAATTATGATTATATGATCAAAAATAAATAGAAATCAATCGCCTGTAAAACAAATCGATGATGGTTACTCTATGTCGCGTTATTCCGAAATTATTCCCCTTTATTTATATGCAGGAAAAATCTGGTACGTTTTTTTTTCAACAGGCTGTAGTTTGATGTACATATGTCTGCAATAGAATAGATTTTTTATTCTAATACATAGTGTGTAATAATTTAAAATAAATTTAGTTCGGCATAAGTGTTGTAAGTAAGGATATACCAACTATTTAAATAATTAGAGAGAAATTGATTGATTTTACAATTTTATCCTTTAAAAAAATTAGCAATTACAAAGAAAATTTCAATTTATTTAGTCAAAGTAGTTAGCAATTATGCTATCAAATATATGGTTTAGCTATCAAATTAAGTATTTTGTTTCAAAATAATAAATATCAATAGTCTTAAATATTTAATGTAAAGAAAAAACAATGATAGAACTATGGCAGGCTCGACATCTATCTAGCAAACTCAAAGACGTAAGAAACTGGTTCATGGTCATCTACAATATCGTGTACCGGCCCTATGCTCCACCTGAGAGTGAAGTAGTACAAAAAAAATTATCTACATTTATTGTTTGATTTAAATAAAATTTGATGATATTTTGTTTGATGGAAAAAGGAGAGAATCATACAATTCTCATTATCGAACAAAATTCATGAACAATGTTTGATATCTAAAAATCTAATTAATAATGCCTGTAGTATAATTATTTATAAAAACACAATCCATTCACCTTACCAATTAATGATGCAATGAGAAAAATTTTTTTTTAAATATTTTAATTAAAAATTAAAATTTTTCAATTTTATTAATATATTTGAAGTGATAATTTGAGGAAATATGAAGAGCAAGTATAATAAAATAATGAAGGATATAACAGTAAATTTTCTAAGACAAAAAATATTTTTATATTTTAAATTTGCCCTTATAAATATACTAAAACTAAATGTATAATAGTTTAAGTATATTTATTTTAATTATACTATGTACATATAAGGATTATTAATTATATTACCTTAAAATAAGAATTTATTTTTTAAAATTTTAATGAAATATAAACTGTTCTAACTCAATTTAAATGAAATTGTGTTATAATAAAATTCTATATTCTCAATAATTAAGTGTATAATCTTAAAAATTATCACATAATTATAATCTAACTATAATATAACTGAAAAAAACCATTTTTACTATATAATCTAATGCTAATTATAAATTATAAAATTATACAATTAAAATTAAAATGAATTTCTAATTAATTTTACATCATCTCTAAATTAAATATAATAAGGGCTAAATGTACATAAGTAACTTGTTTTACGATATTTAATTCATTTCTGTATTAAAATGATTAATGGTATCAAACCATCACTTTTTTTTCGCCGTTTTATGTTTCTAACATTTTTCAATGCCATTATAATAAGAAAATATATTTAAATTAAAGTATGAAAGTATGTGTTGTATAATACTACAAGAGTGTGTATGTATTGTATACGTCCATAATTTCTGTATAAGCAAAAGAACAATATTAATTCAACTTGTATATTGATGTATATAAAAGTTAAGCTTGACTATCATCAGTTAAGCTGATCGCACTATTTAATTTTCAGAAAATGAATGTGTGTACTACATAATAAATGAGAAGACAAAAACAAACAAGACAATATAAGAAACGTGAAGAGCAAAAAATAATTTTATTCGCAGAAGAAAATTATGGTTTAAGGAGAAGCAAAAACAAAAATGCTGTTAGCTTAAAAGTATTTAATGTTTCACCACTCTCTTCTGACTGCATAATGATTTTTTATAATTAAAATCATTGATGGTTCATTTGTTTATAGCATATTATACAACAATGCGGAAAATCGGTTTAAAATTATATTAAGAATATATACGCTAATTACTCCATCAATGACTCAACTTTCGTCTTTAACTGTGATGAAGAATTCTATAGATTTATAATGATAAGATTGATTTAAAATTAGAGGTCAATTAGTTAATAAAATTTAAGTAATCATTATAATAATACTCGTATCATATGTGTAATTAATATAAATTTCTGTATGAAAGAAAATCTCATACAAAAATTTGTATGTTTGGTTATTTCTGAAAATTCACTTTATTAAATGTTATTATTACACCTCCAATTTTAATTGCATGTAGTAATTCGCATGTAGCATGTTGAATGTTGTCAAGTTATCGTATATTAAACAATAATAATTAATTATAGGACATTTAAAACTTATTTGAGGCAAATAATATCTTTCACCTTAATTACTTTATTCCTGTATTTTATTACTAAAGTTGTTGTAAGGTTTGCATTTATAAAAAAATTTTAATAAAATTTTATGCTATGGGAAAAGTTTTATTTTTAGTAAATAAATTAAATATGCATAAAAAAAGGGTGAATGACAAAAAAAAAGAATACTGATGTTATTAGGTATTTTGATGATGACTATACAGAATGTTGAAATGATGATGTTTAAAATTCCCCTGCCACAAATATGGCATTAAGCCTACATTTTGATTTTATATTAATTTTAAGCATGAAGCTATGGTTTTCTTTTATTCTGAACAACTCTTATTACTTAAGAGTAATATAAAATCTCTAATAGCTTTTAGAATAAAATTTGTATTTAATTTTAGTAATTGCAAAAATTTTTATATAATTTAGAACTATTAGAATATAATATATTGAATATTCTATTAGCGTTACCTGAATTAAAAAAAATATGAAGTATCAATATTTTTGAGAAGACTAAGATAAGATGTTAAGTAAAAAGAACCACCAATAACAAAAGATTAAAGTGAGAAACTTTATATGAGATTCTACATAGGGTAAGGAACGTAGGAGGG